GTAGACGCGTGACGGGTAGAATGCGCAGAAAAAAGCGTTATGTCGACACCTGCTGCATGTAATTCTGCCTTAACCCAGCGGCCCAGAGTCTGAGCGGAAACTGCGTTGTATGGGGCACGAAACGAAATAAAAAGCGAATCACAGCCTGATTGGCGGAGATTACCTGTGATAGTCAAATAAAATCTTATTAAGGAGAAGATGCATAGCTCTGGTTTGTCAACGAAAGGCTTAAAGAAAAGCAAAGGCTGAGATCTACCAATTCCAGAGGTTTTGAGGCGTGCAGGAATCCTTATAATAAGAGAATCCGAAAAGGACACATTTGGTAGCTGAATAGCTGCCAAAGTTTGTAATCTCTGGGCAGTGGTAAGAGCGAGGAGAGTAACCAGTTTTAGTGAGATTGCTTCTAAGGAGAGGTCTTCATGTGGATACAATGAAGCTAAATGCGAGATCACTGGAGCCGGGTCCCACATATAATCGTATCGAGGGCGCTGAGGTTTTAGAGCAGCAACTCCTTTACAGAACCTCTTGACTAGAGGGTGAGCGCCTATTTCGTCCTGAGAAAGAAGAGAAATTGCTGAACGGTAAGTATTTAGGGTAGCATAAGAACCCACCCTCTCGAGCAAAGATGACAGAAATTCTAAGAAGAGGGACACAGATGGAGCGAAGCAGTTGGCATCTTTCTCCTTGCAGAAGAGCCACCAAAGTTTAATAGGCTTCGAATATTGAGCTATAGTAGCTTTCGACAGGGATGCTAGCGTCGCAGCTAAAGCTGAAGGTGGTATTCCCTTAAGTAAGAAGGCTTGCCTGATAACCTCGCGGCCACCAGGGAAATTCTGCTCCAGGCTGGATGAAAGTCCCTGAAAGGTGATGTCAACATATTAATGTCTGGATTAAATTGGATCGGTTGTTCGACAATTAGTTGATTGAATAAAGGAAACCATGGCTGGGCTGGCCACCAAGGAATAATTACAACTCCCTCCGCTTGGTCAGTGATTATCTTGCGCAGAACTCTTAAAATTAGAATGAAAGGAGGGAATGCGTAAAAATGGAGATTATTCCAAGAAAGAGAAAATGCATCTACTGCGTATGCAAATGGATCTGGATGCCAGGAGACAAAACGAGGGCACTTTGTGTTGATTGAAGTAGCGAACAAGTCGATATCAAAATGACCGAAATGAGAAACTATTTTGTTAAAATATATTTGTAACAGAGACCACTCTGTATCTTCTGAGATAATGCGAGATTCGGCATCAGCTTCAAAGTTCTGTGCTGAGGGAATGTATGACGCATAAATGAATAACTCCCGCTTTGCACACCAGGTCCAGATCTTCCTAGCTAAAGAGGATAGTAAAGGAAATTTAACTGAGCCCATGCGATTAATATAGGAAATCGCTGTAGAATTGTCTATCCTTAATAAGATGTCAGAGTTTTTTAAATGCGACGCGAAACATCTAAGACCGTAGAAGACAGCTAACAGTTCTAAGTAATTAATATGAAAAGTCTTGTTTTCTGATGACCAGAAGCCGTGCGTACGTCTTCCGTTGCATGCGGCACCCCATCCTGTAAGGGAGGCATCTGAAAAAATTTCAAGAGCGAAAGAACCCGAGCGGATGCCATTAACTTGCGAATTATTAGAAAAAATGTCTTTCCACCATAAGAGGTCCTCTTTAAGCGACGTTGGAAGAAAAATTTGGGCCTCAAAATCGTTATCTGAGCTCGAGAGGGCCAAGAATTTTTCTCTCTCTAAAATCTTTGTGTGTAGTAAACCGTACTGCACTGCCGGGCAAATAGATACCAGAGAGCCGATATAACTTGCCAAATATCGAATACTGCATCGGCTCTTAAGTAGAATATCCCGAGTTCTCTGTAAGAGATTTTTCCTTCTATCAAGTGGAATAGAGATTGAAAAATCTTCTGTATTGAAGATAAAACCTAAGAAACGGCAAGCTTTTGATGGAGTAAGCTCACTCTTCCGCTTGTTTATAATGAAACCTAAAGAAGATAATAAATTAATCGTTTCTGAGATATTTTCTTCACACTGATCATGCGTATGAGCGATAAGAAGAAAATCGTCGAGGTAAACCACTGAAAAGAAGCCTCTCTGTCTGAGGGAATACAGGATTGGCTTCATAACCTTGGTAAAAATATATGGGGCTGACGCCAGTCCAAAAGGTAAAGCTCTAAATTGGAAAAGTTGACCCTGGAAACGAAAGCGTAAGAGTTTTCTGTCGTCCTGATGGACAGATAGGAGCAGATATGCATCCTCAAGATCGATTGAGGCGAGATAGTCGCCTGGAGAGATAAGACCTATAACCGTCTTCCAGTCTTCAAGTTTGAAATGTGGAGCGATGATAAACTTGTTCAGACGTTTTAAGTTGAGAATAAATCTCCAGCCTCCCGATGACTTTCTAATAACAAAATATGGAGATAAAAACTGATTTTCACAGTCTGAGACTCTTTCAATTGCCCCTCTCGTGAGAAGTCTAACTATCTCCTGAGCGCAAATTCGTTCTTCCAAAGTTGACAGGGAAACCGGAGGATCTTTGACCAGAGCGGGTGGATGTTGAATTAAAGGTAGTCTATAGCCGGCGATAGTTTCCAATATAGTCGGATCTGACGAGATCCGTTTCCAGTTAGAAAGGAAAACGGCTAACCTGCCGCCAATAACTACCTCGTTGACTACCTCCTCCTCGTCTGAGATCGGGAGCGGTGATACGATCGGCGACTGTTGCTCGGTGCCCCTGTCCTCTTCGTTGCCGATCTCGGATAACGTACAGGGGCGCGGAAGTTTCCCGAAGTAGACGGAGCGGGTCGCGTCAGTTGTTTGATGGGTTGCTGAACTCTCCTGGAAATAGCTAGCGTCGGTTTGATGATGTCTTTCGAGGACTTTTCCATGGACACTGCCTTTTTCATTTCTTCCCCAAAGGAAGCTCCAAACAAAAGATCGTCCACTGGAATGGTATCGGCAGTATGCTTGGCGTTTAGATTGAGGGATGGTGTAATTAAAGCCCTTCTGTTCAAGGAAGTGCGATAGAAAAGATCTGCAAGGATCTTTGCTCCCTCATTCACTTTGGCTACCGCTAAGCAGGCCTCAGAGCTCAGTGAGTTCTGGATATCCGACTTTAAGAAGTCCGAAATAGCTTCGCCTAAAGCGCACAAAGCTAGACCCGCTTGATCTTGAAGCCTCTTAGCGTAGTCATCCCGCTTCACCACAGAAGAATTTTTAAGCGCCACCTTGCACTCCTGATTTAAAGTGGGGGCCTTGAGGAAAACCAGAGGCTCATGACAAGTATAATTTTTGAATAACATTTCACGTTGATCTTGCGGGAGACCCTTGCGCGTTAAGTCGCGCCAGTTTTGAATTACAAGCTCATTCCAAAACAGCGTTTCGTTTTCTCCAAGCTCTGACCCAAATAACTGTCTAGTGAGAGGGTCTGCATTGTCCTCCACTGGAGCAGGAGGTGTCTGAAGGACGTCTTCCTCAATAGAAAACCGCTCCGGCTGTTCTACGGAAACATTATCCTCAGTTTCAGGGTTCTCACCTGCTGGATAGAGAGCAAAAATCCCAAGTAGATAGAGGGGAAAAAACAGGATGTGTCGTCATGCCGCCTGTATTATTCAAATACAGAACCGGCAATATCAAACGCACCTGATAGTTCTGGGTTCGATGGTCCCTCTTGACGCACAAGGGGAGCCAAAGTATGATTTGAGTCAGCACTTAGATGGGGACTCATAGGAGTGCCAGATACTGAGTCAGTACGAAACCCAAAATCCTCCTGGGAAGCTGCCAAAGGTCTAAATGTCGATGGGGAGGGACAGCTGGGCGCCCTAACCTCACTTTGTGACAGCATGTCCATTATACGCGACATTTTTCGCTCTAAAGCGGCAAAGCGATCCGGTGAGGGTGATCTTCTCCTCTTCCTGGACTTGTGGGATCTCCCCATACTTGAATAAAGGCTGAAAATACTAAAAAAAAAGGAAAACGCGAAAGATAACCGCGAGTGCAGAGGGCCGCGCCTAGGTGACGTAGGCAGGCGGCGCCCTAGTCGAAAATTTTCTAGCTTTAAAAAGGCCTGTTGAGGATAGCGCAGCGGGGACGCTACTACAACTATCCATCCGGACGAGACGTTGCATAATCATTAATCTAGTACCATTACAAGGACCTTCATTGATGCTAAGATTTCTGATCAACATGATAATGCAATTTGGCCTTAAACGTAATTCATAAGAAGGAAGACATGATGGAGATAAACTGTTTAAATATTCTGGTAACAAAGCTTCACCAATATTACCATTATCACCACAATTTACAGTGCTATCTATACTTGTATAAATTTGTTTATCAGTTATATCTAATAATTCAACAACTTTTTTATTAATTTCATCTACATCGGCATTTCTTGCAGAAAGTATAGCACATTTAGCTATTTTGGTAAATTCTTTTTTTCGTATTAAATCGCCATATATATCTTCTACAATATCAGTATCAATAGATGCTACACAACATTCAGGAATTTGTATATTATCATTAGAATCATTTAATATGCCATTTCCCATATCCAAAAGAAATTTTGTAAATTCAATTTCTTCTAAAAGAACTCGCATATTTTGTGTTAAAGAATAATTTACGAAATATTTCCAAACAGAACTAAACTTAATAGAAAAATTTATAATTTCACTTCGAGTACCATGCACTTTAATAGGCAATAGTTGTCTAAAATCACCACCTAATAAAACAATTTTTCCACCAAAAGGTAAATCGTTATTCATAATATCACGCAATGTTCGATCCATCATCTCTAAAGCATATCGTGGCGCCATTGGTGTTTCATCCCAGATAAAAATATCTGTATTTTTCAAATATTGAGCTTTTTTTGACTGGATTTTAATAGTAGATGATGAATCAGCAAATAATGGAACTGGCAATTCAAATGTCTTATGAACTGTCTTTCCAGCAGGCAATAATGTCGCTGCAATACCCGTAAAAGCCATTGTACACACATATTTATTTCTAATTTTAGCTAAATAATAAATAGTTGT